GAATTAAAATTTTATCATAAATAATTTGGGGAAAGTTTAAAAGACAGTATTTAAAAAGCAAATTCTCGGGGCCTTTTCAAAAAGAAATTTGGGAGACAACAAGTGTTTCCCCCGGGTGAAAATTAGGTTAATCAGTAGCGACAAATGTTTTCGGTGATAGGTAATTTAATATAGTCACGTGACAAGTGATTTACCGTTGGTAATTCAAAACAGTCAAGTGATTTAAAGGTGATAAGGTAATTTAAAACAGTCACGTGACAAGTGGTTAACCGGTGATAAGGTAATTTGATACAGTCAAGTGATTTTAAGGTGATAAGGTAATTTTAAACAGTCACGTGACAAGTGGTTAACCGGTGATATGGTAATTTAATAAAGTCACGCGACAAGTGGTTTACCGTTGATAAGGTACTTTACGCCATATGGCCAGCATGGTAACCACTGACAAATGTTAACTTTTTCTAACCCTTGAAATTGATTAGATTTCGCCATCAGTATAGAGCCAAGCCAGCCGACACATACGTGAACCGGAAGTCTGACAAGGCTCTATAGCTTGGCTAACTTTCGGCAAATTTCAGCGGGTCCAGGATTTTTGCGAGTGGGGTTTACAACATTTCAGCAAGCTGTAATGCATAAATTTTTCACAATGAAAACGAAGTAAATATTAAAACAAGAGGCTCAGGATCCGTGCTCATCTTTCGTCGTAAAATATGTTTTGTACTGACATTGTTGTTATTAATTGCTTTATTTTTATAAACAGATAACTGTGGTTGACTTCCCAATGTACGAGCTTTTGGACCAACATACCCGTATGAAATCTGATTCACTAGACGCATATCCGAAACTTAAAGCATTCCTCGGAAGATTCCAGGAGTTACCGAAAGTGAAAGAGTATCTCGCTCAGGAAAGTGTTCGTAATATGCCAATCAACAACAAATCTGCCGCATTTAGATAAAAACAAATCAACGAGGACATTGCTACGCAGCCATAATAAAATGTTCGAAAAATTCTCCTCATTTGAAAGTTGTTAATGTTATTAACAGTTCTTTAAGCTTTATACGAAGAACTCTTGAAACATAGTGTTTTAAGCTTTACTGACACCTCTTGTAATGTAGTGTTTTTAAGGTTTTTGTAACATAATGCTTTTAAGATTGGCTTCATTAATGACTTCAAATAATTTTATCGTGAAGTATTTTAAGCAGAGATTTTTATTTATATACAACGAATAGGCACAATTGGTCTCAGATTTGTCTCACACGACAGCAGACGACATTCTCAAAAAATGACGTCATACTAGCTCTTAAATAAGTTTTTTAATGCTTCCGTTAATTAATCTTTATGCGTTTAGCAAAACATTTTTAATACTAGTATTACATGTACAAACTTGAATATTCCCGGTATACTTACCTTGTGATAAAGAAGCAGACGATCTTTTTTTTCAATAAATGACGTCATTTCCGCTTCATTGTATCAGTATTAGGTTATACAACACAAACGCTTTTATGCAAGTTTTTGTGTATTTTACGATGTGAGAATTATATTTTAGATATGGTACCTATTTACAGCATGTCAGATGTCCAATAAAATTTATACAAAAAAAAATATTTTAGATTTTGTTGATACTTTTTACTAAAATTAAAACAAGTTTAATAATATTTTATTGCTTATATATACATGTATATATACAGAGAAACAAATTTATTTCGAAATAAGAAATAGCAAAAGGGTTGGGCCCCCAAGTTCTTACAACATTAGCGACCGGGCCTCCCCATGAAAAAATATATTAATCAACATTGATGGCATTTATATGAGAAAGTGTGACATGTATACATATAAATCGACCAAAGAAAAAGATAAAGACAGATTAACACCAAAAAGATTAAAACAATGTAAGAAATAAGTAAGACAAAAATGTATATTTATGTACTTATATAATAACGACAAGGTTATGGATCCAGCATTTAGCATTATTCGTCATTGGGAGGAAACGTCCATCATAAATCTGATGGTCAATTATTTATGGTACCAGGTTATTAAGATTAATACAATCGGCCGATTTACAAAAATATCAAGTGTTTCGAAAACGGTCAGTAGTTTTGATAAATTTTTGGACAGTGCAAATATTTGTTCATTATTGTTAACATCTAAAGAATTGCTACCCCACAGTAATAGCTCAACATTAAGAGGATGAAAAATCCTGGTTTCTGCGAAGAGTATTAGTCTCTGAGGTTTAAATAATGGACAGCAAAATAGATAGTGCTCGGCATCCTCACAAAGGTTCCCACATATACAAGTCGGACTTTCTCTCAAGTGATTTTTATTTGTTTGGGTCGTCAGACCAAACAAATAATGGTAGCGAAATTTCAGAGTCTAATGTTCTTAATTGCAAATGCCGAAAGTAGTCCACTTTTTTGAAGCAGTTACTTCCCTTTTGTATGTACACTAAAGCCGAAAAATTCAGGGGAGATCACTGCGTAAAGATGGTCAAAGACAGGCGCATCAATTTTTCAAGCAAAGTAATTCCCGAATGGTCGAATATTTCTAATATTGTTTTCTGGTATTTTCTGATCGAAAATAACTTAATACAAAGCGGACATTCAATCTCTGACACAGAAGTTTATGACAAACCTAACAACAAGTAGTTCTCAAAACAGCTTAAAACTAGCGATTTAAAAGAAAGAAATATTTTTATTTTGTTACAAGTATTCAACAAATTACAACGCATTTAAAGTTAAACAATAGCGTTGGCTTATAGAATTGTCAATAAATGCACAATCACAAATTACGCGGATGAATATGATTTTATCAATGAAAATACTATTTTTAGCCATGTAGATTACCGAATACTACACAAACCGAGTAGTGGAATATATAGATTCTACATGTCGGACTATTTGGGCGAGAGGATTTTCGCTAAAATATTTACTTCAATTTTAAACAACAGGTTTACCCTGAACAAAATACCTCGAAATTAATAAGGATTACAAACCTGAATGCAATGGAAGTTCTAAATTTAGAATGACTAAACTTGATATTATTCAGACTTTCTGTGTATAACATCTCCGTGGTACAGTGGTAACGCACTCGCTTAGTGAGTGAGAGGTCTCGAGTTCGAATCCCAGTCGAGGAAATTTTTTTTTTGTTAAATTCTTTTTTTAATTGTTTTTGTTAAGGAAGTAGCCATGATTTACAAGGATAAAGTGTGGCTGTCGTAAAAAAAGTACATAAATGATTTTTTGATGCAACTCTAGTTATGCAGAATTCCGTATGTGCCTTACAAAATGAATTATAATACATAAAAATAAACTTATACAGGAAAATGCATACAGATATACAGTACGATTTAGATTGCAAAGATCAGAAAATACCAAAGAACTTGAAGCCCTTTGATTCTTTATAAATATACATGCTTATAGTACGCTTCAGGATTATTTACATCTGTGTTAAACAACAGTTAAAGTCGTTACAAGCCCTAATTTTAGAATAATATGGTTTTCTTCAGGCCGTTCACATATAAATTTAACCGTGGCTGAAGGGTTTTCGGGCTCGCTTAGGAAGCGAGAGGTCTGGAGTTCAAATCCCAGTAAAGGTAACTCATTTTTTTAAATTGTTAAAGTCAAATAAACATTGGATTGAATATCAGTGTTGCAATTAGTCTTATAGCCAATTTACTACAATTACGCTGGAAAGCATTGGTGGCACTGAACATATAATCTCACAACCTGCACCTTTCTTACATTCTGAGACCCAAACAAATTCAGCGCCTTCTGTGCTTTGATTGAAAAGGTCAGCGTGTAAGTTGCTACAATTATTCCTTAAACAAGCATGTAAAACTGACAAGTATCTTATACCAAACAAAAAGTGTTTAGGTACTACGGGGGCTTTAAACTTTTCTTTCATTCTAGATTTAAAAATATTCAAAGAATTAATTGCGCGAATTTCGGTGTCTAATGCATTCCATAATTTAGTAGCAGAAGGTATAAATGATTTGTTGTACGTTTCGGTGCGCCTAGCTATGGTTATGTAATTGTTGTTGTTTCTTAACGAGTAATTTGTTGTTTCTGAAACTAGCGATGGAAATATGTTTTCAAGGTATTGTGGAAGAAGACCATTTTTATCTTTTAAAACCGTAACTAATTTTTTGTATTTTACGCCAACCCACCCAACTTCTTTTATAAGCGAATTGATCGATACCGACCTGGTAAGACCTGTTACTATGCGTACTGCATCATACTGTAGTTGTTCATGTGATTGTTTTTCGTATACTGTACATCCGTCCCACATAACGGAGGCATATTCTAATATTGGACGCATGTATGAAATGTAGACTGATTTTATTTAGAGTTGAGCGTTTAAGTTAAACTTTAGTGCACGCATGGTACTCAAAACTTTAGAGGCTGATGTAATAATGTTACCAATATGCTGATGCCATTTAATTTAAATCTGTTGAAAAAAGTTATACCTAAATGTTTGTGATGATCTACAAAATCAAGAACATTATCATTAAAAAGGAGAGTAGGCTTGTCGGATGTAGTTAATGAAAAAACATAACCTCCGTTTTATTGGAATTTAAACTTACAAGCCATTGTTTGGACCATTCATCGATAATTTCAAGATCGTGGTTAAAAGTAGATTCTATGTAACGCATGTCATTGGATGAAACGGCCAATGAGCTGTCATCTGCGAAAAAACGTGTTATGCTAATCAAATTTTCGGTAATATCATTACAAACATGTTGCATGATTGTTTCTAGAATACCCCCCCCCCCCCCTTGAACTTGGAATTTATGTTAACAAATGTTAATTTCTTACTATAACTTAATACATAATGATACATAATTGATTTTCCTTTCATAGTTTTTTCTTCCTTACTGCGTCCAGTATTCTATTAGTCGAGCTTGGCTATCTCCTGTGACAGCTCTTGTTTTTAGATCTATTTCTATATTGGGGAAATCCAATTCAACCATTAAATAAGATACTACCCCCAGTGAATTTGATTTTATAAATTGTTCTGTTGACTACTGTTTGGACCAATCAGAGTACAGCTATACATGTATTTAGAACATATATTTTACGTATACGCAGCAGTTGAACAACCATGCCTGAGTTAGGATACTGGAAAATTCGTGGGGTATGTAAAATTCTTATTTTAGATTCGAACATAATAAAATCGGCATGCTACTGATTATATAACAGGATATTATGAAAATTTAATAGTTATTGATTATAAACCAAATGTATGCGTGGTTTGTGAAATTATGTAACTTGACCGTATTCTACTGAAATGTTTTTGAAATTAAAAATATTAGCATTCTTTATTGTAACTGAAAAAAGCATGTTGCACATCGTGATATTTTTCTGCTAGTCTGTCAATTAATTTAGATCTAATATTTTTTTATAACAATGACAAATGATTGTAAGAGCCCCATTTCTAAATTAACAGTACATGTATTATGACTGAGGGCATGTACTTTTTAGATTATGTATATATCCGTTATTGATTTATTGATTGAGCCTACATATATATGTATATGGTATCAAAGGGCTGGGTGTGGTTTGGGGGGGGGGGCCCTCAATCCCTCTCGAGATTAAAATATAATACATGTACGAGGGCTGTTCAAAAAGTACATGAACTGTGCTCTACTGTTCACAAAACGTCGGTTCAGATGAAATAATTTTAAAGTTACCAAAGAATATGAAAAGTGAAAGGGGATTAAAATGGACAAAATATAATTTCAACTAATAAAATTATAAATTATAGCTGATTAAGCAATTTAGTCGCGTCAAATCGTCATATTCAGATAGGTCTACTGAACTCGTTTTAGTGACATACCTATATATCTATGTTTATTCGCTTAAAATCTGGAACCTTGACCTGTTATCTTATCACAGACCACTCCAAACTTTACTATTTAACATTTAATAAAGAACATATCAGTGGTACATGTATTGTATTATCATTACGTTAAAATCTGTTTTTGGAAAGATTCTGTAAAAGTATATAATTTTACACTACATGTGGTCTTATACGTAATATGACGGAGTATTCAATTTAAGCAGTAAGGACCTAGAAACCAGGGGGTATACAACTTCAAGTTGGGGATCCAAAATTATATGACGTAAATTGCATACTGGGCTACGCTGAAATGCTGCCACTTCAGTTTTCAATTGGACAATTAAAAGCAAGGTCTTCTAATTCATTGATGATGACATGCTTTCAAAGTTGGCTTGATTATATTTTGTCCTTGTTGCTAGGCAACATGATGTCAGCAATTATGTTGTTGTTGTTGTTTTTTGCTCTTTGTTTGTGGACAGCTAGACATTGAATAAGAAATATAAACAAATTGTTTCTAAAGTAAACACTAAATATCAAATTAGTAAAACTTTTTTATCGTTTTTTTTCGGCGAAGGACTGGAAAATTTATTATTTTATATAACAAATGGTCAGAATTCATCAGCTATTTTTAGCTATAACACATTCTGGCAGTTCTACCTGTGTAATCATTCGTATTTTGTCATTGTTATTCGCTATCAATTTCAAAGTTAACAAAGTCACTGATAAGTTCCGGATACGTTATATTCGATTGCCTTTTAGACATGCTTCGATTGAAGAGAGTGAAGGTCATGAAGCGTTAGCATATTTTATCAACATAGTTCCGGCCATTTTCTCGAGTTTAGATAGTCTATACCTTACCCGTGTCTTCAGTGCCTTCTGTACATGTATATACGATATAGTTTGCGTGCAAAGTACAAATCTTTGTCGCTTATCAAGAATGCATACAGCTCAGGAACAATAGTTTACGTGCAACAACGAACTTTGCAAATTAAAAAATATATATAATAATAAGACCACATTTCGAAACAATCCATACATGATTACTTGAACTATGTATCCAAGCCTAACATTGGCATTTGTTTACGTACAGATAGGTTTTGCATAGTCTCAAAAATAAATGTATCCTAAGCGACGCACATATTTAGGTAGCTTTAGCTAGAAAGTACTTTGATTTGAATTTCAGTGAAAGAATAGTTTCTTTCATTGATGAACAGTTAGTTTTCTTGCAAATTCATGCAATAAAATGTGTATCACTGCATGAGACACCCAAGAACGTTTAATTTACTTCAAGAGTCTGCATTCATTTTTTTCTCACATGTAAATATTAAAGTTTGAAAGCGGGGTAAAATGATTATCATTAAATGTTAATATCAAATGTGTTTGCAACTAAAACATTAGAGTATTTTCAAATAAAATAATGCACTGTGTGTTTTTTTGTTGTTGTTTTTTTCTTCAGCGTGCCCAGCAAATCAGATTGCTCCTTACATATGCAGGAGAAGAGTTTACAGACACTGTATACGAACAAGGAGACCGTAAATATTATTTTATTTGAACTACAATATGTAATATTTTAGAATGGCGATGTAGAAACATTTTTGTATATTTAAACGTTAAGGAGCTTCACCGAGGTCTAAAAACTTTAAACTATGTAAAGGACATATCAATTAAAAATATACATAAAATGAATTGAAATTCGATAGTTACTGCATTTCATATCCGAATTTAGTAAAAAGGGGTGCATCGCTTTTCAATTTGGGTAATTTTGCACAATAAAAATGATTATTGTCGAAAACCATGAGGTCGGAATGGTCAAGTTATTGGGCCCGACCATCATCATTTGGCTCACAAATATCAGAAAACTATCTCCAGTCCCATCATGTCAAAACACCACCAGTAGTGTCCCTTTGAGGGGTTATTGATCTACACGAGTCACACTATAGAGGTTTCACTGTAATAATAGGATGTTACTTTTAAATATGGGTAAGAGGGGTTAAATAAATCTCAGTAAAAACTAGGAATAGATCTGTCGATTATTTTGTGGTTTTGTATTTAATTTAGGTTTTGTTGACCGATATTGATTTTGTTGTCAAATATTTAAGTTGAATAGAAACACTTCTAAAGATATTGGTATCGTAGCAATAACTGAATCAGAGTTTTGTGTTATCATATATATTCGAAACCTTTTCTGGTCGTTACAGCACCAGAATTGAGCAGAGAGGCATGGAATAGTGTAAAACCTAAATTTACGGAACTGCTGGACTTTCCAAATGTAAGTACGAGTACATGTAATTCAGTATACGCCTTATTAAGTTTTATACATAATTTATCTTAGTTCGTTATATAGGAAACTCAAGACTATAGACACACTTGACGACTAACAAGTACTGAGCAACAAGTGTAAAGTTTCTTGCTCAGGCAGAGCAACGGCATACCTCTGATTCTGAAGGGTTTGAACCCACGCGTCTAGCGTTCATTATATTACTAATCCGACGCGTTAACCACTTGGTCATGCCGCCATCGCCTTTATTTTACGAGAAAATCATTTATTTGAAAGAAGAATGTACAATTTACCACTTAACTGGTTGAGTTAGATTTTGTCAAAATGTTGGGGCATATATTTTTAGTACATGCTAAGATGTTGGGCCTGTGTTATAGAATATATAAGATGTAAGAAATTTAAAATAAGTTAAATTCCATGGTTTGAATTTGATCCGGATTTTCTTTTTATTTTTGTATTTCAGCTACCATATTATATTGACGGGGATGTAAAAATAACTCAGAGTAACGCCATTCTGAAGCATATAGCCAGAAAACATAATTTAGGTGAGAATTTTGGTTATAAGTTTACTCTATACAAAGACACAGTGACAAACAAACTTAATATCAAATACGTATTTCTGATCCTTTAAAGGCCCATTTAGGCATTAAAATGATAACATGTTGTTGATGCCTTTTACAGTTCCCCATTGCCAATATAGACGAGTTGTGTTTCGTCTCTCTACTTTGACTATTAGTACACTTATTATAGTAATTTAGTATTTTTTTTTGGAAGTCAAAATACCTGTTTGTTTACGTTCTGTTCCACTTTATCACAAATATTTTCGTATTTTCATTTTCTTAAAGTGATAAGCATCTTACGTTGTTTATAAAGCAAATGTAAGCCCTTAATTTCGACAGAAGAAAACAAAATCTAAGGCATAATGTGCCTTTAACATCGCTCCTAGTCACATTATGGTTCTGAAAAATGGAAAGACAGGTTAAAGTTTAACTATACATGACGCATCATAACAAACTGGCCATTGATTATAAAATTGGTAAAAATAACTTAATGAACAAATAGTGTGTACATGGAACCCGTCCTTTTCTTTGAAATTTCATTTTATTTCAACTTTCATTTTATTTCATCTTAATACAAGCTATCAAAAAATATTGCTTTTTGATGATGCTTAACAGTGACAAAATATGTGCACATTTTGGCATTTACTAGTACTCAATCAAACTGACAATTTGTCTTAAAATTCTTGCAATATTGATAAATTCTAATTTTGCACTCCATTACGGCCAAAAACCTCCGTTGGTTATTTTAGTCATACTGGTATTTCTTTTACAGAAGGGGACACAGCTAAAGAAAAAGCAACTGTTGACATGCTTTTAGATCAAGCTATGGATCTGAGAAATGGGGTGGTCAGATTATGTTATAATAAAGATTACGTAAGTAGTTTTTAGACATATTTTAATCTTTCATAAAAAGGAAACCGTTTTTTTTTCTCGCTTAAAAAGTTTTTACACCTCAATGTAATAGCCAAAGATCGATGGAATAGCCAAAGATAATAAATATATTTGATTCAGATTCTTAGTGTTGTGCTATTCATATGAATTAAAATTTTATACTTATATATATTTCAGGCAAGCTTAAAAGACGAGTATTTCAAAAATGTTCAAACTTCTCTGGCACTTTTCGAAAAGAAGCTTGGAGACAACAAATGGTTTACCGGTGATAAGGTAATTTAATACAGTCACGTGACAAGTGGTTTACCGGTGATAAGGTAATTTAATACCGTCACGTGACAAGTGATTTACCGGTGATAAAGTAGTTTACGCCATATCGCCAGCATGGAAAACCACTAACAAATGTTAACTTTTTCTAACCCTTGAAATTGATAAGATTTTGTCATCAGTATAGAGCCAAGCCAGCCGACACACACGTGTACCTGTAGTCTGACAAGGCTCTATACCTTAATTAACTCGATGTTTTGTATTTTGATATTTCCAGCCATTGAAATTTTTAAGTTCAAAATAGCCCAATAGTGATTGGCACATATAGCAACAGACCTGTGCTAGCATTTGAATATCATTTAATTAATTGAAACCACGATGAGTACATAAGGTCACTCTAAGAGTATGCATTTATAAATAACTAATTATCATACCTATTTTATGCACGAATAAGGACACAAAATTTTATGAACATTCTTAGTCGCGGGTCCAGGATTTTTGCGAGAGGGGATAACAACATTTCGGCAAGCTGTCCTGCATAAATGTTTCACAATGAAAACGGAAGTTAATTAATATTCAGACTAGAGACCTCTAACGCCCTGCTCAGGATCCGTGCTAATTTTTCGTCTTAAAAATATGTTTTGTACAGACATTGTTGTAATTAATTGCTTTATTTTTGTAAACAGATAACTGTGGTTGACTTCCCGATGTACGAGCTTTTGGAACAACATACCCGTATGAAATCTGATTCACTAGACGCATACCCGAAACTTAAAGCATTCCTCGGAAGATTCCAGGAGTTACCGAAAGTGAAAGAGTATCTCGCGCAGGAAAGTGTACGTAATATGCCAATCAACAACAAATCTGCCGCATTTAGATAAAACAAATGAAGAATGACTTTGCTACGCAGCCATCATGTACTTAATTTTTCGAAAAAAATTCCTCATTTGAAAGTTGTAAATGGTATTAACAGTTTTTTAAGCTTTACGGATATCTTTTGTAATATAGTACTTTTAAGATTTACGGATACCTCTTGTACTATAGTGCTTTTAAGGTTTTTGTAATTTTAAGGTTGGCTCTATCTATGACTTCAAATATGTATTTTATCTTGGTGTATTTTAAACAGATATTTTTATTTATATACAACGAATAGGCACAATTGGTCTCAGATTTGTCTCACACAACAGCAGACGACTTTCTCAAAGAATGACGTCATACCAGCACTAAAATCAGTTTTTTTTAATTCTTCAATTGAATAATTTTTATGCGTTTAGCAAAACATTGTAATACTAGTATTACATGTACAAACTTGAATATTCCCGGTAAACTTACCTTGTGATAAAGAAGCAGACGATCTTTTTTTCAAATAAATGACGTCATTTCCGCTTCATTGTATCAGTATTAGGTTATACAACACAAACACAATTATGTAAGTTTTTGTGAATTTTATTATGCGAGAATTATATTTTAGATATTGTACCAATTTACAGCATGTCAGATGTCCAATAAAATTTATATAAAAAAATATTTGAGATTTTGTTGATATTTTTTTCTTGAGAAAAAAAAACAAGTATATATATATGTATACGATATATACTCATATTATTGATCATATATTCGTATAAGGAATTAATATGGAATTAATTTTAATACCGATTATAAATAATGTTTAAAGCATCAATTACAATACCTTATGAATGGCATATAGACTATAGCTTTATGAAGTTTCGAGGTACAGTTTCAACAAGCTTTTTCAAGAGTGTCGTGGTCGGTTGGAGAATTTTAAGCCTCTTGGTTGAATATTCACTATATGCAGCATTGTGAACATGTAAATTAATCGAAATTAATCAAGTCAAAAATAAAGTAAAAACACATTTTTGTCACCGTGTAAATCTGATTTAAATGGTAGAAAGACACTTTCTTTAATTTAAAATAGACGGTCGTCTTTTTTTCAAAATTTTATTCAATGGTTTTTGTGATAAGTGAATTGATAATATGTAAATTCAAACCGTCATTTAAAAGCTGCAATTTTGCTATTGATGGGAAGATTTTTGACTTTGTCCAGTGATAGATATTCCTTGACTTTTGGCAGAGATTCAAACCTATCTAGGAAAGCCTGTAGCTTGGGGAAGGCATTCAAAGAATCTACCTGCATCCGTCTAAGTTGATCAAGAATTTCATACATCGAAAAATCAGCCGCTGTTATCTAAAATAATCGAAGATCAATATTTTGATTTAAAAGAATTACAAAAATAATCTTATAGGTACAATAAATCTTGATTTCTATTCAGGCATATGCTACAATAACACATCTTAATTAGTTTTTAAGGTAATCATTATAATTAAACAAGGAAAATTGTCGCTATGAATAAAAACAAGTAATACGTTTCACAAAGTAACTGTATGATTATTTTTGTCTCAGTTATAAAAATACACAATAAAATAGTTCTCGTTATAAATAAACAAGAAACCATTCTGTTATAAATAAACAATAACTATTAAAATATGAATAGAGTCCTCCGTAACAAACAATTTATTATTAAATTTTACTGATATCTTGATGAAAATTTGGAAGCTTATTTATTAGTAGTATAATGTAAGGATAGTGCAAGGGCTCATGGGCACTTGGTGTACTTTTTTGATATACACCTATATTACTACGTTTTTTTAGTAATATCGGTAAAATGACCGTTTCAGAAAAGAGACATAACACGTTAAAAAATTGTAACTTAATCAAATTTGAGTTCTACAAACCTCTCAAAGGGTTATTTTATCCCAAAACCAAGTGCCTATGTAAGGGCTTGTAGGCTTGTCTGACTCAATACGGGTGGCTAGAGATTTACAGTATCAGCATGGTTAAGTTTGATAAAGATAAACTTACAGTGCGCCCAGCAAACCAGTCATTCACACCTAGATGATTCTCAAACTGTTTTAGTTTTGGCGGGAGATTCTTAAAGAAATCTGGTTTCCATTTCTCCTGAAAATTTTAGCAACGAAATGAAAAATAGAATTAAACAAAACTTATAAGTGTAAAAAACAAGTAATGTTCATGGAACGCAATCCCAATCATATTTCACTGGGAATACAAAATGATATTCATCTTCTATACCTTTTGTGTTACAACATATACAATACCTTCCACTGCTTGGTACTCTGTTATGCCCATAACGTACAATCTTAACACCTAGGTAATATCGAAATAAATTTCTATGAGTAATTTAACAAAAAAAATTAACTTCCATTATTTTGATACCTTCTAATAATTTAATACAGTAAGGATATATTCGCACTTACATAGTTTTCCACACTTGTATACGTTATTTTGACAATACCATGCCTGAGATCCATTGCCTCCTCTATTACCATATCTACAACTGCCTTTTCGTTCTCCGTTACACCATCCAGCTTGTATTTCCGGGCTACGTGTCTTAAAATAGCGTGACTTTGGGTAATTTTAACATCGCCATCTATGTAATACGGTAGCTGAAAAGATAGCTCAAGTATGACAACATGAATTGTTCATTATTATAACAATTAAAGTATTTACTTTTAGGTACTGATAGAATTCTGATGCTATTATTTCGTCTTGTATCAAATGTAAAGTGAATACACCAAAATCATAGGTCGAAACTTAATGGAATATCAAACACTTTGACTTAAAATGTGTACGATATACAGCGAAAAGGTACGCTCTTTTGCGGAACGGATGTATTTCGGTGTTTATGTCGCTATCTGTTTCAGTGCTTACAGTGCTTTTTACGCAGGTTCGGCTGTATTCAATACTTTACTTTTTGAACAATAACGGCTTACCTACATAAAGCTTATAGCACTGCGTACAGACATCTTCCTTTTTATATCGAGCATTAAAATGCTACCTTCACCTGGCACTAGAAGCAAGACCTGTCCAAAACACACATTTTTAAAAAAGAAATCGTTGGTGTTTTTATCTGCAGAATTTATAAATCAAAATATTTGCACAATTACACTTACATTGGGAAAAGATAAAATTTCTCCAAACTTTGGTTTTACACTGTACCACGATTCTCTGCTAAAATCCGGCGCTGAAATTCAGGAACATAATTACAAATTAGCATATCACGTGACCTTTTTAAACTGAAAAATTACAAAGTAGTGTAGTATTTGTTAGCGACATTGAACAAAGTAACATTAAAAATAAAACATTTGTGCGTAAAGCATAGATCTATTACATTATTAAAATAATATTACGTAACTTGTTTAGAATATCTAACAGTTTTTATAACAAATAGTATAAAAATTTCAAAGAATGGGAGAATATTAATTCTTACGAGGCCCTTGTTCGTATTGTACATCTTCAAATTCTACCCCGGCATATGTTAAAAGCAATCGAATCGGCTGTGCTAACTGAAATTAGAATTACAAAATATTCGTACTGTTACCAATGTACGAGTTGCATATTCTAGGTGGTGAAAGTAGTCGTAATGTAGAACAGGAGAATACCACCCTTCTAATAATCTACTTTAATAGTAAAATCTCAAAGCAAGAAGGAAATACTTACACCTTTCGTTTTCCAATATCCAAGAGTTGGCATATCTGTTTGTCTTTGATAATGGTAATTTAAATAACGCTCAACCAATTCAAGCGTCTATGCGTATGTGACGATGTACACAGTGTATGGTGTACTACATAGGCCATTACTCACCGAGAGTGTTTGTAAACACTAGTACACCAATTAATATTTTACATGTTCCGTTTAAGGTATTACATAAAACTTACAATCATAAACAAGTAAAATGGTTTCCTGCGGTGAACCTTTTAATGATATAAAGATATTTCATTTAACTATTTTTAACATTATTTGGGGGGGGGGGATAAATAAACGTTTGTATCAGGAATATAGTTGACAATTGAATAAACGATCAATACAGAATAAGGTATTTGAAAACTGGTGACCGTTGAAGACCGGAGAAGGTCGAACATAAAACAATTATTTCTTTTTAAGAAAATGATTAAATAGGTCTATCATTTTATGAATAATTCCGAGCAAAAAATAAATAAAGTAAACACACAAGTTTACGCAGAAAATATCTCCATTTATTATGGCAGATGCCACTATGAATATTTTAATTTTGTAGATTTTCAGTATAAACAATTTATTGTTTGTAAAATTTAAGATAGATATTAAAGAAACATTGATAATTTTCAAATACATCATTCAAGTTTTTTCCACCTTAAACGGTAAAATAATTATAGAAAATTAGAAATATCACGTAATAGTTTTTTGTTCTTAATTAGGTGTAATTCGGACTAATTCCCTACAGGTTAATCCGTAACGTAACGGCAAACGGTATTTAGCTAGGTTTTCGAACAGGTCAATTAACCAATCATGTACGGTTTACAGATCACATGCTCCTCCATGTACCGAAAACAGGTCACGTGCTCCTCCATGCTTTAAAAGTAAAACGCGTACCAATACCCTGCGGTCTCCGGACCGCAGGGAATAAAGAGTATGATGATTGCAGATTTTCATTAAGATAATATCTTTCAGAGCTAGTTTATTTACCCCATGAGCATATTGTGAAAAAGTCTGTTTTCACTGAAAAGCCTCATATGTTACAAGTTCAAACTGCTATGAAGCTGGGACATACGATTATAGTATGTCCCAGTATAAAGCTATGATACTGATGAAACTTGGCACAAATGTTGACTAGACCATAGCCTCTGTAACAGCATGCTCAATCGTAAATTTTCTGTTACCATGGCAACGAGGTAACGTCTCAAAATTGCCAAATATCACAATTTTGCATTGTTTTTTTTTCTCCATCAAATCTGATTTCAAAGTGCTGCAACTTCTCAATGAATTGAGATAAGAGTAAAAGGCTTTTCAGCGTCGGTTACTAGTGACCCTAAGGTCGACCTGAGGCCATTTTTAGCCTGTCACATGTCCAAATTTTTTCTGGCGATGAGGGTGACTAACGCCCCCCTTCCCCCACCCCCAAACAGAAGGGGGCACATCCCCCTTCAGGCATCCTCCTGATGTACCATTTTGATGGGAGTCGGCGCCGAAAAAATGGTCACTTTTTAACAACATTTCTCAAACGAAAAACAGTGTTTGGGCCTAAATAGGGCATTTTTTAACTGTTTGAGGCCTCGAAGGTGGGGGGGGGGGGCAAAAGGCCGTCAAAACACGTCTATACGAGGGAAAAGGTTAAACGTTGTTAGTGCTCGTTGATACATCATAGACGATGTATTCCGCTGGCAATTGATATAAAAAATATGTATCTATATAGACTTTCAAAACAACAATTTTATTTTATGTTGTCTTACATTTTATTCAAACATAAATGACTTATCATCTAAGCCCATTGTAAACAAGAAACAAAAATGTTTAATACAATAACGTTACATCGTACATAAAAGTAGCATTCATGAGATGTACTTTTGAAAACTTCCAGTAGAAAAGAATTGGTTTGGTTTAGTTGGTTTTAACGCAAAAAACTAACAAACGTTTGGTCATATCTCTGTGGTTGGTCCACCTATAACCTGCTTTCCCGGATAATAAATTATAACTATTCAGTATTTACAACTTTTCGACACGTGACTGACTACCAATCTCACAATATTACTAGCAAGGGGAGCGGTGGCCTAGTGGTTATGGTGTCTGCCCTCAACCCGAGGATCATGGGTTCGATCCCTAATCGGGTCACGGTCATGCATGTTTCTTCATATGACACCAGTACTGGTTGGTACCAGGAAGCGGACTCGAAAGTTGATTAATGTAAGTTGCAAGAACGTATCGCAATCGAGCTTAAATAAATATGTTAATTAGGCTGGAGCGCAATGTCAGAGATCAATATTGGCATTGGGAAATTTCGCCTCGCCCGTGGAGCAGCGGTCCTTGGATTACAAATTTGATGCCTTCCCTAAAGGGGTAAGCGGGCGGACATAAGAAATAACATTATCTAGGAATACAACTCACATTCTCATCTACATCATACTGCTTAACAAGTCATTATGATAATTACTAGCAGGCGTTGATAGTTTCGGCATATTTATAAAAGAACGCTGTGTTTTGGAGTCTAATCTGCGAAAGGAATCTTCGCATAACATTGTCATATATACTTAGTTTGATTATAAATCTAGCACATGTATCTACTTTCTTAGTATATGTTTAAACTTAGTCTAACCATTTTTCTATTTTCTATTTTAAGTAACAGTGACCACGACCCTATAGGTGACCCAAAAGCAATCCCTTGCAAAGTCTCCAAATATATACTAAGTTTGATAATATCTCATTCCAAACTAGATAATTGTTTTTATTTCCTTACTTAGTTGCTGGTCGTAGAGATAACTCAGACGCATAGATAACCCCGACACTTAATAAATACAATTGTTATAACTTTGTTTTTCAACAAACAAGCATATGGCAACCTTGAAGTATAGGAGCAGGACACAATTTGATGATTTAGTGTAAGTTTGTAAACTTTTTTAGAAAAAATTCAAATAACGTAAACTTTTCGTTAGCAACTGCTTCAAAACGTTCTTTTTACTAAATTACAATAATCGACTTTTTTATCTGTGATACGCAGGCTTCATAACCTCTGATCCCCTTTCAAAATTCCATTTTATTTAGTTCCGCCCATTGTTTTCTCGTTTAGGGCACACGCTTTTTATTACTTGGGGACCATATGCCGCTTTTCATGGAATGGCACGGAAGTGTCACATTGAAGGTTCCATGATAACCGCCGTATGAACACATCTGCGGATGTTTCTAAATTCAAAATTTTACTACTTCATGTTTAAATGTTGAATTCTGCTTAAGCCGGTGCTAGGGGGCGTGGACGGTAACTTGCACTTTCCAGTACCGTCCATGAACAGGCTCAATCAAACCGAGCCTGCAACATTTTCAACTTTGTCGTGTTGAGCTTTCTTTAGGGATTCTGTATTTATCTATTTTATCTTCTGTTGTGGGATAAAAGATCATGTTTTGATACGTCATTCAGGACCTTAAAAAGTACCAGTTTCCATTTTCATACATAATTTTTGCAGTGTAATGTAAATATTTTGAAGTGGACTTTGTTTTGGTGGTTCAGTATTTAAAAAATATAGGAAGATAATTAAGATATAGCAAAATATGTGATTTAGTGTCGGAGTTATCTCTCCAGCCAGTATAGTCCGGGAACAATTTTGAAGTTTTAAGAGTAAATTGATCTTGACCCTAGGGGGTTCAAAAGTTATCCTTCAAGGTCAGCTCATGCTTTCTTTATACCACGTTTGTTTCTAACGCTCTATAATAATTATCTATCACGCATAAAACCATCGACGGACCGACATGCTTATCCTAACTTCGTTAAGGGATGATTTTGACCTTAATTTAATCAATTTTCCACACTTGGAAGGGAGATATACCCCGTGCGGACGAAAAAAAGAGAAATAAAGACTGCAAAGGAATATGAAATTAACAAAATGTTTGATAATGGATTTGGTCCGATGGCCTTGCTGCTTTATTGACTATTGACACTAATGGAATTAGGCATTATTTGTATTTATTATTCAATTGTATACTACGATGCAATGTAAAGATTAATAAATATATATTATTGTTACATGTATAATGTGTGACTTTTTCCAATACAAATAATTAGTACTACTATACCTTGTACCATAGTTGCAATATTGAATACAATTTGAGAACATGAAACACCGTTAATGTTATTAACATTTTATTGTAAAAAATGAGAAAACTGACACATATAAAGGACATGCGATGCCAATATACATATATAATTCAAAAATAAGACAAAACGAAAACGTCAACAAAACTGACACTTTTTAAAATAATTTCAGTTTTAGTTTTTATTAAACCAAGACGTATAATAATTATGCAACTGGTTGTCACAAAAAATGAACAAAAAGTAACAGTCAAAAAACAAATAATAATATTACAATAAAAGAATTCAATACTTCAAATAATTTACAAAGGGTGAACCTCCCCCAAAATTAAATAGCATATATTAAAAATTTATTATCTATTATTATTGTATATTATGAGAAATAGAAAAAGAAGATGTTTGCAGACAAAACTTACACAAAAATTGAGATTACACGTTTTAATATAAAGCATATTGATGGATTTATTAATCAAAATTGTGTGCCACTTTACAATAGAATTACACTGATATTTAAAACGTTTAGATATCGTTCAGCTTAAATAATTATATGTATTTGAACAAAGTCAAAACAATTACACAACGGATAAATGATTATTGAAACATGTAAAAATTAAATTAAATTATTTATTTCTTTAAGAGTAAACCTAAATGCATTAAAACTTTAATAAGTGTACAGCAATCGGAAATGATGTTTCATGATTATATGTATTAACTCGTAAAACGTTTGGGAATCGACCACGGAGGCAGTATTCACTAGCAAATTAACATAGGCAATTAATTTTCCTCTTTCTTTCTTTCTTTTTCTTACATTGATAAAATCAGGAGTCTTGTTAGAATAAGAATATTTGTCAGACATTTAAAGAAAATTTATGCAGCTTTTAAGTTTTAATGCACATGTTAATATTATCTCCCTTAGAGCATGATATTACAAACACAGTGTTTCAACTGTATACAAGACTTTGAACACTTTCAAAAAGATATTAATACAGAACTTGAATAAGATAACTAGCTTCAACACAAA